GGACTAAAAATAAAAAAAATAAACTCTTATATAAAATTTAAATTAGAACAATATTGAGATACTGTAATTGATTAATTAATTTGCATGATTTTTAAAGTTTAAGAATTAAAATATATTTTTTATAAAATTTAAGACACCACATTTATATTCAATGTTTTTTTTATTTGTGTTTTTTTTTAATTTCAACATTTTATTTGAAATTAAAATAAATTGATTTTCAATTAAAACTAAAATTGCTGGAAAAAAAAGTGAAAATCAAATTTAAAAAAATTACAGATAAATAATAATAACTTGAAAAACAAACTCCTTTCGAAGTTATACTTAATTGTCAAAACTCTTGTACACATTAATTAACATGACATGGGCTTGTTCATCATCGAGCTAGCTCTGGGCATCTGAATAATTCTTTAATAGTAATCAATTATATGATATAATTCTTTACGGTCGGTGATCAATTATGTGACGTCCCTGGTCCGGTCCCCTGGAATATACATGCCTGCACTAATAAATACAATCTGATAGTTTAACTCAAATTAAATTTAAAAAAAAAAAACTAAGATAGAAATTTACTCATCAAACTTTTAAATAACCCCATAAATAAACCGACGACCCCGTCAAAATTTAGTTTTATTTTTTAAAAAAACCAGTGTGTCCATGGTTCAAGGCCAAGCTACTGTTTGATACATGGTGACTAAGCTTTCTGCAGTGTGGACCACAGCCCACCCGACAATATGCAGTGTCTGCAAGGCTGCAATAATTTATGGTTGTCTCCAGATTGGTTACACAACATGATGATCTTCTCGGTTTTCCTTCTTTTTCTTGTTTTTAGTGGTTATAATACATTCAGCCCTCAATTTATCACATGGTTAATTCTCCTGGTTAGACACTGAATATTAAAGGTGATTTGTGGATTATAATAATAGAAATATGTTATTGCCCCTAGAAAAAAAAAATCATTATAACTGGTCGTAGGGGTAGATTACTGTCTTTATAGAGTTCATTTTGTCATTAATAAAATTGCCAAGTATCATCCCTTGATCTTCTTTTTCTTTGAGATTCAATCATTGTTTATTTTTTTTATATAAAAAAAATATTTTAAATTATTTTTTTAATTTTATTATTCTTAAATTTTTAATCTCTTGAATTTGATTTTTATTTATTTTATTTTTTAAATAATTTATAGATTTTATTTTTTTATAGTAATTCCATTCTCATTTTTTCTTTGCTCTTTTATCCAAATTTTTAGTTTTATTTATCAAATCAAATTCATAATTTTTTAATAGTAATAATATTAATTTTAATTTGATTCCTTTTCTTTTGATTTTTTATTTATTTGTTTCCTTTACTGTTTTTATCTAGGTTTTTATAATTTATAATTTTATCTTTCAAATCGGGTTTATAATTTTTATCACAACAATAATAATTATGATAGTTATTGTAGTTGTAATAATAATAGTAATAATGATGGCAATAATAATAGTAATACTAATAATAATAATAATAATAATAGCAATATTATTAATATTTATACTAATAGTAATGATTATGTTGATAGTGATGGTAATAATAATAGTTTATTATGATAGTAATAGTAATAATTTGTACAGCAAGTCTCGAGTTTGGATCAAGACGTGTATCTTTTATAAGAGTCTAGAACAACCGAGATTTTACTTGTTCAACTTGGCCCATAAAATATATTTTTTTGGAAATTGAGGTTTTCTCGAATCTAAAAAAAATAGTAATGATCACAGTGATAAGTGTGACATAATAATAATGATAATAGCAATAATAGTTATTATAATTAAAATAATATTAGTAACAATCAAACCAATACTATTATTATTAATAATAATAATTATAGTGATAATAGTGTTTTTTTTATGATAGTTTATAATGATAGTAATTATTATTATTATTATTATTGTTATTGTTATTGTGATAGTAATAATTTTTTTTCATGACGGCTCGCACCAAGGATTTTTTTTGCTCGAAAATTCTTTTTCCCTCTTTATAATTCCACTACAAACCATAGAGAAAGGATGAAAATTTAAAAAAGAAGAAGCATAATCTCTGCCATATATGTGTGCCGAGTGAGTGAGGCTGTAAATTATTTTTTTATGACAAAAAATGAAAAGAAAGAAAGAAAGAAAACTTGAGCCATGTCGATTCGATTTAAATTTTCATGCAAGGACCAACAATTTGTATGTGCATTACGCATGGGAACCTGCTACAAATCAGTACATGAATAATCACTTTTTTTTTATTAATGTTTATAGAGTATTTTATATAATTATTAAATTTAGTTTGTTTAGCGAGTTGACCAAAAAAACAGTCAATTCATAACTTAATTTAAGTTTAGTTTTAATTTAAATTGAAAAATATATTAACTTGATCAAATTTAATTGAATAATAAGTTTACATATCCATTGGTTAATTAGTAAAAACTTAAATATATATATTTTTTTAAAATAATCTGTTTACCGGTAACCCAATTACCTAATTCTTTTTTCAGAATATACCGAGATCGAGTCGGACAAGAATGCTAAATTTGATAGAAAAGGTCAATAGCATTTCCATGTCCAGTTAGAAAAAGAGACAGAGAAAAAAAGAAGACGTGTACCGTGGACTGATCTGTGTTCCTTGATCCAGAAGCAAAAGACAGTGGCTCGTGGAGAAGCTGATGGCGCGGCGGCTGTTGACTGCCGGTCGAACATTGTCCAAAACTTCAGATTCTTCCACTCGTCTTTTACTTCATAAACTATTCCTTAGAATATTCACACAGAAATTTAGAATTTCCCCTGGTTTCTGATAGTCTTTCACGTTATTGTATCAAGTCGTCCTATACCAAGCATGGCTTGATGAATATACTCTTCCCAGCAAGGTATCGCGAGGAATAAATTTCTCATGAACAAGGCAACTGGGTTCCCACACAATTCTTAGATGTGATAATGGACCTTCTTGTAACCTAGTTGATCGAAAAAATACTTTAATTCAATAAAAGTCATGTTTTTTTTTTCACAGATGGGCAATGTGTTTGTTTTTACAGTGCTAACGTGATTTTTAAAAAGTTTATTTTTAAAAAATTATTATTTTGTATTTTTAAATTGTTTAATACGGTGTTATTAAAAATAAATTTTTAAAAATAAAAAATATTATTTTGATAAATTTTTTAATTAAAAAACACTTTAAAAACACCATTGTTATTACAATGCAAAGCATTACTATAATCCCAAAGAAAAATCAACTTTGTCAGCATACATAAAAGCATAAATAATTATTAAACGTACATAAAAGCATAAATAATTATTAAACACTACTCAACTAATGGATTAATTTAAATAATTTACTACTTGAAACTTAATTTGAATTTAATTTTAAACTAAACTAGAAAAAAAATATTGAGTTGGTGTGATTCAATTGATCCGTGACTATCTTAATCTAATTAAATTAAATTTAGACTTTATTGGATCAAATATTAAAAAAATTTTAAAATAAAATTTACATAATAACACGAAATTTACTTTACTTGATTATCTATCAACCCAAACGCTTTTCAGATAAGTATCACACCGAGTGACATAACTTTGTAAAAAAGTTGAAATTTTCACTCAGATAGCATTGTAAAAAAGTTGAAAATTTCAGTGTTGTTTCATGCATAAAATTACATATAAATGCATGACTTTATTTTTTTTTGGTAAGTAAATGCATGACTTTAGCGGGAGGTGAAGTACCTATTAATACTATCTGTTTGTAAATAATTTATCTAAAAGTTTTTAGAATGAATTAATTAGATTTCAATGAGTGAAAATTAATTGATGAAAAATGCAAAAACAAGGGCAATAGTCAAGCAATCAACAAGAACATAAAAATAAACCAAAGAGTTTTTGTTGTTATTGCTAGTTGAATGGCTTGGATTTGTGGTAATGTGCCGATGAAGTGATGCCAAAGAGTGACGTGAAAGGGAAGCAAATCATGAATTCATGAATTTATTTATCTCCCTTTCTCGGTGCCAATGGAAATTTATCTTGGTGAGCTCATCGAGCATGCTGCGCAGTAAGTGCCATGACTTGATAGATCTTTTTGTAAGTTTCTTCATTAACATTACATAAGAAAATAAACCTATTAATTCTAAAAAAAATAAAAAAAATCTCTTTGAATAACTTATTCACATTATTGGGATAATAATTTAATTAAAACTGGATAAAAATTGATCTAAATTGATATAAATGCGTGAGTTTTTTAAGTAGTAATCTTATTTAATGGGTAATAAATAAAAAATAGATACTATTAAACTCGATTAAAACAAAAACCATTATATATATATATATATATATATTATAATACAATAATATATTAATATTATTAATTTATTTTATATTAAATAATAAACCATGTAAAAAAAAAAGGTATAAATATCTAATTTTTTTAATCATTAAGTTATAAATATGATATGAATATATTTTTACTTAGAAATATCCATTGTCATCACAATGAACACACACAACTAAAATATTTATGAAAAAAAAACCTTTTATCTATTTTCATTACTCACAAATAGAAATTTCCCTTAAAAGTGAAATCTTAATATTAACATAGTTAGCAAATTCATCTATAATTTCTAGTGTATTATCCAATATAATTAGTTAATGTTTGAAGTTGTATGCATACAAATAATTTTTTTTAGATTTTTTTATTTTTTTATACTAAAACATTAAAACCATAAAAAAATATACTAAAAAATATTAATTTAATATTTATTCAAGTCAAATGCACCCAAACACAATTTTAAACGCAAAAATAAATTTGTGCCTAATAAAGAAATAAATTAAAATATTTTTTATAACCATATAAAATTTTGAATATATCATATAAATCTATTTTCATTCAAAATATATTTATTATTTTTAAAACTAGGGAAGATTTTATTCCAAAACCTTTGGATGATCCTAAAATTTCAGAATATCTAAAACAAGTATTATTATAATTACCCCCCACCCCAAAAAAAAGGCAAACCTCGCTTCTCACTTCTCACCCCGAAATTCCTCAAATTGCCACGATCCCCATAACTATTGCCCTTCTCTTTGCTTTCTAGATCCATCATCGCTACCACCACCATTATTCCCATCTTTATTTTCTTTCCCTTTAAATAAAAAGAAGAAAGAAAGAAATGTTGTGCAGAATGGTGATGTTGAACCGGAAAAAGAAAACAGGGACAGTTCCGGTTTACTTAAATGTTTATGATTTGACAACTGTTAATGGTTACGCTTACTGGGTTGGTCTCGGGGTCTATCATTCTGGCGTACAAGGTTAGTTGTAACTTTTAAAGTTTTGATTTTTTCATGGTTTGTGTTTCTGGGTTCTTTTGTTTTCCATGTTTCAGTTTTTGGTTTCGATTTTAACGATGTTTTTGTTAAGGAAATGATGGGTTTGTTTTTTTTTTTTAAGGTGTCATGGTATTTTTTTTTAACCGTTTGGATCCAAGGGGGAAAAAAGAACATCTTTTAGTATAGTTTGGTTGCTGAGAATGTGGAAGGAAAAGAAAGGAAAGAGGGTAATATTATTTATGGAATTAAAATATAATATTCCCTTTTTGGTCAGGTTTTTCTAGTTTTCTTTATGTTATTTTTCTGGTGAGTGAGGAAAGAATTTTTTTTGCTGTAGTGAAATGCTATCCAATCTCTATAAAAATGAAATCTTGCTGTTGAAAGGAGAGTTTGCTAATTTATATATTTATAGTGATCTCATGTTAGTCAAACAAGTAAAACTTAGTCTAGTTTGTTGAGATTTGGTGGTAGAAAAAAATGAATTTGGGCCATTGACTATTAAGAGTGTTTTTAATTAGTTCTGACATGACCTAAATTTTTAACTTTTTTTTTTCTTTTTGTAATGTAGTTCATGGTGTTGAATATGGTTTTGGAGCGCATGATCATGAGACAACGGGGATTTTTGAGGTTGAGCCGAAGCAATGCCCGGGATTTATGTTTAGGAAATCTATATTGATTGGAAGAACCGATTTGGGTCCTAAAGAAGTTCGGGCCTTCATGGAGAAATTAGCTCAGGAGTATCCTGGGAATGCTTACCATCTTATTACTAAGAACTGCAATCACTTCTGTAATGATATGTGTTTCAAGCTGACTGGGAAAACAATTCCACAATGGGTTAATCGTCTTGCTCGTTTAGGTAAGGAGTCCCATTTAAATTTGTTTAGACCTTGTTTCTACTTTCAGATTGTTTTATGCTTACAAAGACAGGAAACGTGTGGTTCTGGTGTCCATGCAACCTCTGCTTGTGCTTTATCATGAATTCCACCATCTTCGTTCTGGCTGTCATGTTTATAAGTCACACATCTAGTTTTATAAACTGTTTAAGTGGTTAAGAGCATGTTTCTGAAAGCTGACAGCCTTGTTTATCATTAAAGATTCATATTATAGTAACTGTAAACAATGAAGTGTTGTGTTAGGATCTTTGCATGTTAAAATTTCTTTTTCCAGTCATTCTCACCCAAAAAATGCCAGATCTTTTAGTTAGCCTAGATGTTGAAGATGTTTGTCTTTTCTGTCGCAATTTAGCTCAGGTTTCTATTTCGCCCCTCCAACATGATGTCTGGGAAGTCATTCTCTTTCTCCGTTCATTTATTGGATATCTTTTGGTGGTGGAGAAGGAAAACTGGTTGTTATTTCTCTTTCAAAATTTTCTTTAGTGGTTAGGAAAGGAGATGGATAGATGATGTTCGAGAGCCTGTAGTTCAGATTGTAAAGCGATAGCCTGCAGTTCAGATTGTAAAATATCTCATATCACTAGTTTGGATCAACCCAATGCATGCCTTCAGAAGCCTTGTCTTAACGTTAGAGGTATCTTCCTTAACTGGGAAGTTATACAACTCTGCTTTGCTGTGAATTCCTTCAACACCACTTCAAACATTTTTGTTTTCTATTGAACACCCATATGCAAGCTGATTATTTTCACTCTTTACCTTTCCTTTGCCAGCAAACCAGGCATAAATTTAACGTTGGTGTTGTTTTTGGTGAATTTTTAGGTTTTCTTTGCAATTGTGTTCTTCCGGCAGAGTTGAATCAAACAAAAATTCGCCAGGTTAGATCAGAAGAAAGTGCACAAGAAGGAGAGAAGAAGAAATTGAGGAGCCGGTCAACCAGGTTCATTTCTTCTTCTAACCCTGTAAATACTTCCCCTTCATTGACATCTTGCCCTTCAAGTTCTGAAAGCAGAAGTGGTGGACAGAAACGATCCATTCCCATGTCTCCAAAATCTTTTGTTCACAATGAATCTTCATCATCGACATGGAGCTTGAAGGCATAATGAAGGCGTTAGGTTTTGAAACTTTCTAGGGTTTTAGAATTTAAAGAAGTGAACTATAGATGGGCAAAACTGCAAAAATTGTATTCTGCCCCATGTTATCTGGTTCCAGTGGTTGCAGAAACATCTGCTTCAAAGTTGCTGCAGTGTCTCTGTTTTCTGTCAAGATTTCTGTTTTTAATGAATGGAGGTCCTGTGATTTTCTGTAAAATCCCGTCTGGTTCACAAGCAGAGGTGCCGAGTCTTTGAAATTGTTCACGGTCGATGTGAATGATGAAGCAACTGTCATGTACTACCAGCAGGTGATGTCTGTGTTGCGGGGCCTGGTTGCCTTCTGTCACCATGGATAGATTGTATAGCTTTGCATTAATAATCTGCTTAACGTTCGTTCAAAGAGTAGTGGTCCTGTGATGATAATGATGGTGGTCCAGCTAATGAAGATGTTTTTAGAAGTCTTAACTATAATAGATTAATACTAGAAGCTGATGATTATGAATTTTAGGGAGTCCCAGCTCTCATTCTAGATCATGTCCTCAACACTTGGGGTCGCAGGCCTTACAAGAAGGATTCCAATACATCTTCAATTAGCTAAGTTCAGTTCTCTGTGCCCAAGTGATGGGAATTGGTAGATTCAATCAACTGATCTCATATATATCGCTTATCTCCTGCTATGAAAATTCATATTATTTGTGAATAATTGCACGTATTTGCAGCTATCTTTCGTGCACTGTTATGCAAAAAAATTGAGTCCAGATGTTTTATTATAGAGTGGGATTCAGACTTCAATGAAGAGAGATGCTTGATGGTTCAACATCAATAAAAGGGTTCGGCAAGCTAGACCTTCTCCAAAATCCAGAAAAAATTGGTTTTGAATGATTTGCACGGGGTCCAACTTCAATGAAGAGACGTGCTTCAAGGTGCAATATCGTATGGCTTAGCAGTTCCAGGAAACAATCCAAACTTCATCTAGTCTTTCACATCTCCTAAAACCATTGATCAAAGAGCTGTAAATACCGACAAGATGCTACACACACACACACACACACACACACACACACACTTGGCATGTGATATCGCACCATGAATTGAATCACACCATGCATGACATCCAGTGTTGTTGGGGATGTCAGGTTCCATGCCCATTTGAACCATTAGCTCCGACATGGCAAAATGCATCCAATAAAATGCTGAAATCAGTATCCACCATATCGTTGAATGTTGTAAACTCCGGTGGAATTCCATAGCCTAAGACTATGATGTGTTTAGTAATACAGTTGAATGAAACCATTAAAAAAAATCCAAAAACATGTATATTTTTTCATCCAAAAACACTTCAAACCGCAATAACAAACAAAGGGCTGTGCATGAGAGAATCCTAAAAGAAGACAGATCCCTGCTTCCTTTTCATCTTAAAACAGGCTCGAAGCCTCGTCTAGGCGTCCCTCCTTGGATACACTTCCAATGGCAACACCGGAAGTCACTGCATCTGGTTTAGGGCATCTTCTTTCAATCATTTCTTTAAATTATACTCCTCTGGTGAGCGCTCCTTCCATTCTAAAGTCTCCACCCTTGCCAAGGCCATCCACATCCCCCAGGACATTGGAACTCTAATTAGCAATTGACCCAACATAAAATGGTGAATTGGGTATTATCTTCACATGGCCAGAAGCTTAAACTCTGAACTACTTTAAGTAATTGTTGATTAAACTAGGTGAGACTTAATTATATTATCCTCGTTAAAATTCATTTTGACTTTTTTTTTTGAAACAACATCATTTTATTTTTATTTTTAATTTTAATTTGAAACAAAACTGTTTTTTGTTAGCTTAGATAAACTTAAATTAACATACAAAATTTAGATTAATATATTAAACTCGTGATTTAATAACTTTTGTAGTTGTATGCTGAACATCTCTCTTCATTCCTCGTTCTTATTCGATATAGGATTAAACGGCATCACTGGAAACGATGTTAGGATTGTTTTCAGCACAATCCATCACAAAAGTTTATGCATAGAGACAATGGCGATAAACGATATCTAACAATAATTGACTAGTGTCCTTGATCCATCAAAATTTCGATAATATTCTTGCTAATCAAGAAAACGAAAAGCCCCCTGGACTCATCAACCTTAAATATTTCTGGTTGACGCTTGTTTCTAATCAAATTCTCAAATTCTTAAGATCATGGATGGTTTGGTGCGGTAAAAACCATCAGTATCGATACTAGGGGAACAGGAAGCAACAGACACAAACAGAATGTTTAAGAGGATAATTAGCTTGAAGGATCACTCTTGTTCTTCTAAGCATTGTTTCTTGCTCTGCCAAGCCAAAACTCAAAACAATTAAATGTGAAAGGATTTAATTGAAACAATAAAAAGTTATGTGATTAATACAAAATAAAACAAAGGGGCGCAAAAAAATAAAATAAAAATCAACAATATGAAAATTCAATGAAAAAAATAACAAATATATCGAAGGAGGATCAAATTGTTAAATATGCGAAACATTACAGACCTAATTGTTTCATTTAATTAGTTTGGGGTGACATTGAAATTGAATAATATGAGAAGCTAAATAAGATTTCTTCTTAAAAATACATTAGAAAGTACACTATTGACCCTCCCCCATGGTACATTGGAGATTAGCATAATAACATGCCTTCTCTTTCCGTGAACTTTTAGAAAACTAGATTCTTATTAGAGGTGGCTTAAATTCATCAAGGCTTTCAAGATCTTTACTTAATAATAAATAAATAAATTATATTTATCAATTATAAATTAATGAAAATTATCTCCACTCAGTAATAGATTCTAAATACTAAATGAAGCTTGTTCCAAGCTCCACTTATCAGATATACATAAAAATAATAAAGAATATTTTTGAGATATTTTAAAAACCTTATCTATAGTTTTATTTAAGCCCCTATTCACCTAAAGCCGAATCCGATTCTTATCAAAATATCATCTATGGCAGCATCAGTCTCTTGACCACCATTGTTGCTATCATCTAAACTTGACCATTCAACACAATTCAAATGCTAACCTAACCTACAATTTTGCTATTTAATGATCCCACAATTCATCTTCACTACCAAAACCAACATACGATATGGGTTTGGCAAATTACATTAATAATATTGAGGTTGTCAATTTTAGACAACTATTGAGCTTATTTAGTCCTTGTTTCTACTTCTACGTGTAACTTCCTAGTTGCACGTTAGTAATCGTCATGCCCCATGGATCTTTTTTAAAGTTATACACAGTGCCCATCTATTAAGACAGTGTTCAGATTTTTTTTCTTCGAGAAAATGACTTGAACCATGCTCGACATAGAAGGGCCTACTAGCCACTTCCATATTGTCGCTCGAAAGCAAAGTTATAGCCAATTCCATAATGGCACACGAAAGCAAAGTTATCGCAACTCATCCGTCTGATCAATGATTTGGTTGAAGTTCCTATACATGGATTAGATAAATTAACTAGTTTGACCCTAATCATTTTAAAAAAAAATTATAATAATATTATTTTAAATAATTTTTTAAAATTAAATCAAATTAAAAACAAGTCGATTGGATAGTGAGTGGCCTGCTACGTACGTCAACAGGGCTAAACTCAATCAATTCCAAATAGGTTTTACTTTTAAAAAATTCAGCATGGACCCGTGCCATGCCAAGTTTAAGAATCAGTGCTTGCCAAAGATATTTTTCTTGAGAATAGTGTTATAAAATATTAATTTGGTGATGGATATGTATCACAATTTAATGTTAAATCTTGTGCTTTTCAAAGATTAAGCAAATAAAACCAGCTACGGTGGCAAAAAGTTGAGTTTCAGCTTAGCTTAACTAGTCAAAAGTCATGTTTGTCTGCTGAAATGTAAATTCTATCCAAATCTACAGGATATATATGAACCCTAAAAGGCCAAAATCTATGAAGCAAGCACATAGCCAAGTGCATGCCCTTTACTTGTTCCGCAATCCAAAGTTGATCTGTTGTTAGACAAATAGAAAGCTATCTAAACCATTTATCTGCTAGATGCACAACTCATTTTTTACATGGTAATTAACTTGTGGCAGAATTGACTTCAATAATCATGTATGCAGGTAATGTGCCTGTCTCCCTTCAATGTACGCTTGACCAAATGCAATTAGGTGTCTTAATTTGCTGTTTCTTCCTATGATTGATTCAAATTGAAGCTTTGAATTTAGATACTCCATGTGTTTATTGATGCTCTTTAAGACTCGAATTAATACCTTCTATTATTAAAGTCTAAACTACGAATCCTCCTGTAAATTAAAATTCAATTTTTCAAGCTTTCGAAGCGAAAAAAGAACTATTGTTGTTTTCTTTTTCCTTTTTTATATATTTAATATGTTAAGCAAACGTTTTGCATGATTCTCTGCTCAAGATTATTTTTTTTAAAAGAAAAACTCAACCCGACTGTTTAAATTTAAGCCACACTATTTTACTTTACAATAAAATAGTAAAAATTAACCCGACTTGTGGTCATCCTAAGGCTTAAGATGAAATTGGAAGACAATAATAAGATTTTCTTCTTCTTTTTTCGGCAAAGCACTCCCTTGGGGCTATACTTAAGCACTCCATCCCATTTTCTAACCGGCCATTTAACTACCATGCAAAGGTTTGGTAGTGGTAGTTCAGGAACTTGCTATGGAGAACGAAGATGGAATACATGAACTCAACTTTAGCTTCTTAATTTAATGTAAACAAAAAAAAAGAGGAATACATTGCTTGGACATGGTGTTCAACAGACAGCTAGTTTAAGCTTGGAAGACATTATTCTTTTTATTCCACAAGTCAATCCGCGTCTTTTCTTAATGCGCGTAAAGAAAAAATAAATGTGGTGGCAATTTGAATACACACCAGCCACCATTTTTATGGATTAAATTTCTTCCATCTCCAAATCCATACAAACTACAGAGCAGTTCTATCTTCTCCAATACTAATGTACATTGCATTTACTACTCAAAATCCCACTTGCCCTTGTCGGTATACCTGCAAGAGAAAGATTCATTTCATTTCTTAATAGCTTCAGCCTTAGTGGGTAATTTTCAAAGTTCGACTAGCTAATTCGAAATTTGCTAATTTCGGGTTTCCCCCAACCAATCGAATGTTTCTTTTCACAAACTAGCTTAGTTGAAAAAAATAATTCCTGAACTTGGGACGTGCATATAACACTTGCGCACCTTACATAAAATTTTTGTTTAGTGTTTGTGACATAGCATCCACACACCATTTTTTTGTTTAAAATCTTTTGTGCATGGCTCCAGCAAGCGAGGATGCCATTGCCTCCAAGCGACGTGTGTGTCATTTTCATCTTCAAAGATGACTTGTTTTGATATTTATAAATGTCATCATTGAAATTTCAACATGTCTTTAATGTTCTTTCTTTTTCTTTCTCTTCCATCTCTTCTACTTTAGTTATTGTGCAAGTCCATTTTTTCTTTCTTTCTTCTCTATCTATTTCATCAAGTCCCTTTTTTTATATATTTAGTTATCTTTAATATATTGTATTATTATAGAATTAAATGAATTTTGCTAAGAAATTAATGGAATAATCTTCTGAAAAGTAACAAAAATTGTTATTTTTTATTCAACTTAAATAAAAATAATTTCAATTTTTTAGTTTTGTATAAAAAAACAGCGGATGAAATGATAATAATAATGGAAATAAAGTTAACTAAATAACATTGAGGTACCAAATGCATTTTGAGTAGAGAAGAAAGAAAAAAAAATTGCAATTGTTTTTTTTTTTTTTAATGATGTGGGACGTGCATGTGGTAGATGCGTAACTAGTCAAGTTATGCTAGTTTAAAAAATATTTTTTTAATCATGTTAGTTTAGAAATTTTCTTTCTCATTATGCTATTATTGAGAAAAACTTGGTAATTTCTTTAGTAAAATAACATGAAAGAAGATGGTGGTCGCAGAGGTATTGAAGATGATGCTTTAATTAAAATCATATCAAATTAATATAAAAAATATGTCATAAATTGTTAAAAAAGATTAATGTTGATTAATATATAAGTTAGTTTGAAAATATATTTTTTAAGAAAAAACTAAATATTATACCTTTAATATAATCTAGGTTTTACATAGAAACAACTCTAGGAAATGCAAAGAAGCCGGATAGAAGAATTACAACAACATATTGTACTTAATTATTTTTATAGACCCAATCAATTCTAATAAATTAATAAAATGGATAGTCGGCTGTAGTAGTATATTTTGTCCATTGATCTTCGTAATCGGCTACAAATACAAATAAGTGAGGTAGGTTGACAGCGAATATAGATTAGTCAAATTAAATAATCTTTAAATAATTAAATGCATAAAATCCAGTATGGCTTGTCCTATGGAATTTCTCATGGAAAATGGACATAACCTTAAAAATTCTAGCCCTGGCCAATAGCATGTAACCTGTCTTTAAAACCAAAATACAAGAAAGGAACCTTGACAGACCAGCATAAAGCCAAGTCAAATTACAACATGGATCCAAATTTTTATCATGAGTTAGCAATTCCTTAGCCTTTTATTTTTTAAATCTATAACTTCATCCTTTCACCCTTGTTGATCATTGTCTTATTTAAATACCTTTTTTAAGAGGGTGAGGTTAGGTATGAAAAGTAAAACTATAGATTAAAAACTTTTTATCTAATAACATATTATTGTAAACACTCGATTAAATATAAAAATAATAAACAATAAAAATACAATAATTAAATAGTTAAAGTTTAGAGAGATTGCAGCATAATTTATAAAGATTCAGTAAATTAATTATTCTTTTCATTGAAATTTTATTTTAGAGTTTCACTATCATATATTAGTTTTTTAAACAGATAAAACTAAATTATTACATGATGATTTTTTTGTGATTACAAGATTAAACTGAATTCTTTTAATTTTATAGTTCCTAGAGGATAGCTCAATGAAGAGCCAAAATAATTTTTCTATCAAAGAAAAAAGAAAAGTCATTTCTACATGTCTATAAAAAAATTTAGAAAAATAAATAAATTATTTAAATAGTCATTCTTTCATCAATTAAACATTTTTTAATGGTTTTTCTCGGGAAAAAAACCAAAAATATTAATATTAAATATATTAAAATACAAATGGATTGTTAAAATTGGAGTGCATATAAGAAGAAAAACTATATGAATAATTTGGCTCTTTTAAATGGTTTTTTCCCATTGGAGATGCTTTTAATGAACTAGGTTGTAGATTTTCAAACATGAAGTACTAAGTTGTAGATTTTCAAACGTGAAGTACTAAGTTACTTGGTGTTCAAAATCTAGGGTCTGAAGAATAATGTTGTTTGCCCTTTCAGTATCCTATGTGGAAAAAAGCAAACAGGCAAGAACAGCAACCATCATAAAGATTATACGTTAGATTCACCAGACATCTAGACTGGCACCAACCGGTCCTCCTCAAACAAAGGGAAAGGTCAACAAAACACTCCCATTTCCCCATTTCTTACATCTTTGGTGCCGTTTCCTATGGGGCAGTACTATAATGTGGTGTTGGGTCATATCTTTACATATAACCGATTTTTTTTTTTTTAATTAGCACATAAAAATAAAATTCATCAACTATTCATAATGGATCACACACGCATTCCACAAAACTTTTACAAACTTCAAAACTTTCAGATGAAATTGTGAATGAATCCATCCATTCTTTACTTAATCATCATTTCAGGTTTGAGTTCAAAGTGGTTAAAAGGAAATTTCTCATTAATTTAATAATTAGCGTACTAAGTTAAACAGAAACGCTTTGCTTATAAATCCAATCAAGGACTTAATTTTAGAACTCAAAATAAATTAAAAAAAAAAAACTCTTCATACATGGAAATGGAACTTCGAGTGATCCAATACATGGCTACCAAGAGGTTAGAGATCAGAGACATAGGTCTCAAGGCTGGACTAGTTTACAGGTACCAATAGAAAATAAATAAAGGACAGAAAAGGTAAAAGACCCACTTCACATGCATCTTGTCTTGATCTAAGTGTGATTGAAATCTAGGAAATTTCCATCACACCTACTGTTTCAATCAAAATCAAACCAGCCAGACCAGACCCAACAAATTAAATAGTACCAGACATCCGAATTAAGGCTTCTACATTACGAAGATTATGCAAGAAAAATCGAATCTTTAACTGTACTAGAAACTTGATTGAGAACCCAAGCAAGGTCAATTGCAGTAGTTGCCCAGAAGGAGATTAAAGACCTCAAGAAATTGAATCTTGTCTGAATACAGAAAGAAAAGATTAATGTTAGATTTAGTTGTATGCTAATTCATTGAGTATTATACTAGCATGTTCATCAACAAATAATGGGTTAGTGACAAAAACAGAAATTTAACAAAAGATCACCAAAAACAGAAGAGAATTCATCCATTAATCCATCCACTAATCTTTTACTTCCTCCAAGCATAAACCAACAAGGAGAATCCAATAGGACCACCACAAAGTTCACTTTCTTCAGTGCTACTAGCCCATTCCATTACTGAAGAACTGCCACCAGAAGATGCTGAGGACATGGAAATTGATGAAGAAGATGAACTCCTTGCAGCTGTTCTCATCAAGCTCTTTCTCATCTTTCTCCACTCTATTGGACTCATTCCAAAACTAGGGGTGCTACTTGATGAATTCTGTTGCCATAAAACAACATCTTTGTTGTTGTTTTTCTCATTGATTTCTTGTTGTTGATGATGACAACCATAAACTTCAATTTGTTCTTGTTTCTGTACTACTTCCTGTTCTTCTTCGGGGTGGTCTAAATTGCTTTCAAATCTGAACATAAACACTGCATGGTCAGTGTGTATGTCATCAAAAAGCCAGTTATAGACATCCCATGAGACTTGTATAGGAACACCATCAACTTCAATCCTCTCATTTCCTCTAAATTTCCACTTCAATCTCTTTATCTGCAAAACCCTTTTGTTATCAACACAAAAACACAATCTTGCATCATTGTTCACACTACAATCTATTGAAATCTCTCTGTTTTTGCCCCCAAATCTTGCTCTTGTAGTGTAAACTCTGTTGCCAAACACATGTTCTCTTCTCAAAACAAGAACCTGGGCTCTCTCTTTCCTCAAAGCTTTGGTCTTCGCAAAAGCTTCTTTGGTCAAATCACCAACAAGAAGCACCATTTCTCGTTCAACAACCACAGCTATGTAGAACCCGGACTGGGGTTCATGTCCTGATCCAAATTTGGCTCTAGAGAGGTCCCAAAAGATTTGAATTCTTGGGGTTGGAGTGTTAGCCTCCTGGTTAATAACATGGAATTTCTTGGATCCATGCCTTTTCCAAAACAACGAGGGTTTGATATTGAGGTGAAAAGATATTGTAGAGAGAGAAAGTGGGTTAGGGTAAAAAACAGGAGAGCAGTAGCTGTTGTTGCAGTCAATGGGGTGGAGGTGGAGATGAAGAGAATGGCCTAAAAAGCAACTTGACCAAGTAAGAGAGAAGAGGCCAAGGTCAGTTTGGTAGAGGCAGGTGGTGAGGTTAGAGTTGCCTGAATTAGGTGGCGGCGGTGGTGTTGGTGGGGGGAGGTGGTGGATGTCGGCGGTGGAAGGGCGGAAGCAAGCAGGGAAGGGGGAGGAGGAACGGTGGTGGGGCATTTGTGTTTGTGTGAAAGAACTTGGAATTTGTGTTCAAGAGCTTACAATTTTTTGGCTTAGAAAAATATGAAGGGCTAACAACAAGATTGGTGCTTTTTATATGAGGGAGGGACAATGAATTTGACCGAAATGCAAATAGACTGAAACTAACACGCAAATTAGGGTGAAGACTATCTTTCCAAAGGAAGGGGAGAGAGAGAGAGAGCGAGAGAGGGTAATTTTGGTAGGCATCAATTATTTTTTATACATTTCTAAGTACAGAGAAGATGACATGCATGTGTTACTCTTTAGTCATAAGATGATTATACACAGATTGAGGTAGCTCCTTCTTTCTCATTAATTTACATGCTATAAATGGCTAGAAGCAGTCAAGGGTCTAAATTATGGGTTAATGGTGATGGGGCATGAGAGTAATTAGGTAAACATATTTAATTAATGAAATTAAATAGAGGTTAAAGTTAATTTTGTATTGTTTCTTAGTGAGATGGTTTTTATTTTTTTTGTATAAGCCATTTTTTAATTAAGAGAAGTTCCCCCATGTCTTGAAAAAAACAAAAAGGCTCTTCTTTCATATTTTTATGGTTTTTTTTTTTTTCCCAAGGTATCCCCAGCTTATTGCCCAGGATTAATCTTTCAAGGTTCTGTCAAGAGTCAAGACAAGAACTTCTTCCAGGAACCCAGAACTACTTGTTTAAGTGGCCAGAGCCTCTTCCACTCAAGCCTTGCATCAGCCTCAGCTAATAGGGATTAGGTTATTTCGGTAAATATACACAACAACTTCAATCACTTTATCTATTAACATTTTATAAGATTTTACAAAACATTTATCACTTAGCTTTTAACATCTGATCTTGTGGTCTCATATAATTTATATGATAAATACAAAGTCGTGTTTAGTTAATGTTTTTAAAAAATATATATAGAGAGAGAAGACATATTGCTTTCATTATATATGAGACAATAATTAAATCCCATAAGTTGTTTATATATATATATATGTATATAAATTAAGAAAACTAATGTCAAATTATCTCAAATTAAAACTAAGATTAAAAACAGATCTTCATTGAATCTTTAAAATTTCAAAAATAAAATAAAATTGAGTTCAAATATTTGAGAATTCTTAATTGAGTTTATAAAACAACATTTTTTTTAATGAATGGAAAAGTACAATTCGAAACATGGAGATTGCCAGACGGGATTCTGAGATCGACAATTTCATAGATCTTGGGATTCCCAATGGAGAGAAAAGAAAATTATCTGGGAATTCAATCGAAGAATCCATCTATGATTGTAGGAGATACTTGAGATTTACCCTTAAATCAAAGCTAACAAAGCAATGCCCACCAAAAAGTGAAAAGGAGAGCCATTGCATCAAACAAAGGAGACAAGGACAGCATGGATCAAACTCACAACAACCAGTTGAAATGTAGTGAACAGTCCTAACATTGGAACTCGATACAGATTTTCTTTTTGTATTTATTGAATACTATCATGTTAATACAAATTAACTATATTGTTTTATCAGAGGACAGGGAATGGGAGGGTAGTTCAGTTGTTGGTTGGCTAGTCCATCATGTTTCCTTCCAAAGAAACCATTTTTTCTCATCTATCATGGGGGTATCCTTCACGTTACTAGAAGCACAAACCATCACCAATCCATTCACCTGTATCTTCCTCAGCAAATAATCAGTCCTTTTCATGTTTTTTCTAGAAAAAAGAGCTTGAATTGTTGGATAAATTCGCGAATTATTGATGATCTAAGTCAACTGATTTACTAAAACAAGTTTATTTGTTTTTTTTAGCATCGATAGAGTTTGATCACTTCAATTATATTATATTATTAAAAATCAGTCAAGTCAATCAAGATTCACTGTTTTTTTCTACTTTCAATTAAAAACACAATAGCATTAAGCAATATATTACATTATTTATTGCTTGTAATATATGGACTCAGGGGATCAAAACATTAATGGCACAAAGTTATCTTCATAAACCCTCATTATTATTATCCTTCTACAAGATTTGGTCTGTGCGATTAATGGCTGATAATCTGGCTTGAACTTATAATTGATAAAGTTTTTTAATTTTAACTGGGCCATCATAATCAATTTCAGAACTTTGATTTGATGGAATTTACTTGGCACCGAATGCTTGGCAAAAAGGATGATTGCCTCGTCAAATGAGTTGTTGGCTCGAACCAGTAATGTAAACCCATGTTGTTGAATTAGGCAGACCTGCTAGTATGGCTAGATCCATTCGAAGGTAGCTGTTGTGCTACCATGAGAGAACGGTGCACACTTTTTATTTATTTATTATTATTTTTTATCTACACAAAAAAATTAAGAAAGAATTATGAAGTGACCAAACCACTAGGCCGACAAATTTCTTTTAAGATTATGTATTACAAAAAAATATTTAACCGTTAATTTTTCCTTGAATTTGGCATCCTCACCGTTGACTGGGTTTTTTTTATATATAATTATTGAAAAATATTTTTATTAATATCATATACTACCTATCAAGAAAAACTTTTTAATTATTTTGAAAAAAGTAAATATCTTTTTAATCATGTAGGAAAATATTTCTTAAATGTGTGGTCTTCTAAAAGTTATGCAAAATACAAATAATTGGAAAATATATTTTCTTAATCGTGTTGTCTTGGAAAAAAATGTATTATTTTACAACATTGTCTTTTAAAAAATCATTTACGAGGACAATATGTGATTTTAACCATCATAAACAATAAATTAATTCTCCATTTTTGTTTACATACTTGAAGGAAGTAAAAGAAAAGGAACTGGGTCAAAGATATGCCAAATTAAGGTTAAGAACATTATTAGTGTGCTAATAACAAAATCCATGGATAATCCTTGATTCTTTTTATGTGGTTGTGAAAATATTTTCCATGAAGAATGACTGTTTACCAATTGGCAGATGTTTCTGCCACCCAGTTGAGATTTCTTTACTTTAGTTTCTTGCATAATTCTGTACTATAATGATTTGGGTTACCATATTTTATTTATTTATTTGATATGTTATTGTGTTAAGTTAAATTCAAATCATAGTTAATATAGGAGCTGTTGTGTGATTAGAAGGTGTCGAATATTCAAAAGTTAAATTTGAGGTGATTGTTTTTTTTGTAAAATTACAGATTAAAAGTAAATAAAAAATTATAAATTTTTTTTGTACAATTTTTTTCTGTAAGATTAAATTTTTCTACTCTTTATTTATTTATAAATAAATATTTATTCATGATTTGTAATTTTACAAAATAAATTACTTTAAAATTTAGATTTGGACAGGTCCCGTTTTTTAATGACGCCACATATTCTAAACTAGTTATACTTTGTGCTTAACTTAATTTAAAGATATAATAAATCAAGAAAATATAATTGAGAAATATGATAAATTAAAATAATAATACATGGACAAAACAACCCAAATAGATATAATACAGGAAAGACTTGTGGCTTTTAACTCTCAAAATGAATAATTAATCAAGCTTGTTCTATCCCTATTCCTGATGTGGTTCCAATTAAGGTTTTGTTTAATTACAAGCTTATCAATATATACTTTGAAATGAAGACAACTTTTCTGCTTTCTGTGAAATATGTCCCCAAAAGTTCATGTGCATCCAAATTAACTAGAACTATTTTTTTTTTTTGGTGGTTCGAGAAAAAAAGAGTGCTAATGTTTCCATATAAACCAACGAATACGTGAAAGTTGATTTGGTTGAATTTCATTTTTAATTATTTTAGGTATTTATTTGGCTAAATTTGAATGATATTTGATTGGATTAATAATAAAAATATTAGAGAATAATATAAATTATATCTTAAAATTTTACTAACAACTTAAACTATTAGATTGAAATGGTTTTTTGACATGGTATTAGAACCTTAATGATCAAGTGGTCAAGAGTTTGAATCTTATTATTTTTATTATTTGATAAAAATTAAGCATAAAATATTATAAAACTGTGCAAGTTTCAAGTTTAATTTTTTTTTACTTGAACGAGTATTTTCGATAATAATATAAATCATATTTTAGAATTTGGGGCCTTATCTAATAATTTTTTTAAATTTTTTTTTATTTAAAACAATATTGTTTTATTTTTTTTTTATTTTTAATCCAAATCAATCTTATTTTGAAATTAACTGAGATTTATATAATAATTGAATAACTCAATCCTTATCAAACCCGAAACCAAGTATTAGAAATATAGTTGAAAAGATTTAAGAAAATTTTTTGAATATAGCCTTTAACTATAACGCAACACCCTTGCTTGCCGTCTGAATTGTATGTCGAGTCTTTTTCTTGGACACGAGTTTTAACAATCCAAACATTCAATTGATATGCAGTTCCGGCTAAAGTGTACTTGTCCAGAAACACCAGCCATGCCATTTTCCTCAGCTTGATCACCTCTAACGTTGGGTCTCCTTGGCTCTAAAGTGCCTGGTTTACTTTAAATTTGCCAGCTGTTGTTATGGTGACGTTAGGTAGGACGTAGCACATCCCTTGATGATTTGTTTATGAGAAAATTTATTGACAGAAATCTCCAAGACAATTGCCAGACTTGATTTAGGAGCTAATCCAGGAAAAGGGTATGTTATTAGGTTAATTTGTGAATCATTACATCCACTGTTTTTATTCAACTAGGTTTTTCTAGGTCTTTTGTCTTATCCCAACTAGGAATTGAGTTAAAATATGCTATCTGGGACAGCAAGGGCTCATGATCAAGCATCTATCTGTACATGATATATTGGATGAGAGAGATTCAACTAACATCAGGCATTTCTTTGTTGTTTTGTTCAAGGTTGTGCGAAGGACAGTCATCTTATTGCAAATAGTATTAGTTGAATCATTCATGACCAACACAAATCAATAGAATATAGTAAAAAGTAAGGATCATCGATGATTTAGATGGAACAATCAAGACAAGATCAGTGCATTCATCTTTGTTCAGATGTGCAGGTACATTTTAGATGAAATGAATTCTAGCAGTTCACTGATGAAATTACCATCGAAATGATTGTACCATAGGATTGTTCAAGTTGATTGGAAAACAGGACAAGTGAAGGAGGATAGTGAAGCAGAGTCACCCCACGTGATCCCATCAAGTGAAGTTTCTGTGAGCTACAGCCATTGATTAGCACCTGGTTTTGGGCCACATGGATATCATCAGCTGGGATTTCTGTCAATT